GAACCACCAGCCTTCTGGTTAGCAGTCAAGTGCTTTAGCCACTATGCTACCAGAGCTCCTTTTTAGTCCCTACGTAAGTCATATAAAATTGGGGGTAGTAAAACTAGTCCTTGGTGCTTAGTAACTTATATATTTCAAGAGAACACAATGCAGCTGAACTAAGTAGTAGAAAACTGAGTTGGTACCAGAGGTCAAAAGAGAAATTAATGCTTAAAAAAAAAGGCTGTATATCAAATCTATTCCAAGAAAAGGTAACTGGCCAAGGGTTTCATCAAAACCTTAAAGGGAGATGAAACTACAACTAGTAAATTAGTCACTGAACAGATGGTTGGGGTTCTAATCCTGACTTCATCCTTTACTAGCAATGAGGCTTTAAAGTATACCTGTTATTTAACCTCTCTGAGCCTAAGTCTTCTGCAATAATCAAGTTGGTAGGGAAAGCTAATAAAATAACACATGTGAAAACCCCTACTGTAGTCTCTGCTACAAAGACTTTACTCTGCAAATGGAATATAACTTATTCGTAACCTAAACTAAGCTAATCAGAATCTTATCTAGATTATAAAAGAACTTCATCTTTAACAGTGGTCAATGTAATGACCTTAGAGAAAAGATGCCACCAAAGAGCAAAAGAGCCTGGCAATAAGCAAAACATAAATGTTCCTCTTATGATCATTAGTGCCACTGGATAACAGCTGCTTACCCCTCTACAGGAGATAACTTTCCAAGACTATGGCAACAACTGACTCAACCAGATGAAGCCCCAATGGAACACATCATCAAAGACAAGAAAGATTCATTTCAGTAACTTTCCTATTATATAATGAAAGCTTTACCCTTTAAATAATGCATTGAATGAGACTAAAAATATTGAATTTCAATAGAAATAGCTTAATTTTGGATACATAAACTGTATTAAATTCTAAGAAGCTCGTGATCTTTTCCCCCCAATGTTCATCTTCTTTCCTAGTGTCCCATATCTAATTAAAGCACATGTAATTCAACCCACTTCCTTTAGCTAAAAACCCTAGGAAATACCTTTTAAAACCTCCTTTTTATTCTCCACATTAAATTCATGAATTTTACTTGCTAAATATTCCTTCAGCATCCCTATTTCATGCTATTTATCTATTTCCCTGCATCCACTAGAGATACCTGTATTATTGTCTCTTGCCTGGACAACAAGTTTACAACAGCCTTAGAACTAGTCTTGTGCCCACTCTGGCCCCTACAAGTTATTCTTCATATTACAGAAACCATGATCTTTAAAAACAAAGTCTCTTTTTGTCACTTCCTTCCTTAGGACTCTTTATCCACTGCACTAAGGATACTAGGCACAAAATCCAAACCATGACCTCTAGGACTAGGACGAAGCCAGCCAGCTTTAACTTGTGTCATCCCTCCCCCACATCCAAGACTATCTGCACTCCAGAAAATTTAGCCACCTTCTGCTCCTTCAAATGAACCAAGTTCCCCACCATCAGTAGCACAGAGTCTCTATACATGCTGTCCCTTTGTGTGCAACACTCTTCCATACAAGTCTCCCCTGAGGCTTCAAAGCTCAGTTCAAGTGTCACTTCTTCAAGGAAGCCTTCTGGGACTAGGCCAGGATCCTCTGTTACATGATCTAATAGTATTATATTCTTCTCCTTCATCATACTCATATCAGTTTATAATTGTTTGTGATTATTTGATTAATATGTGTCACCCTTTAAACTCTCAGTTGTATGACAGCAAAAATCCATGTCTATGGAATGAGTGAATACACCCTTTACAAGAAATATTTTTTAGTGATGTACCCACTGAGACAAGCTTTTAGAAATATAATCTCAAAGCTCCATCATTCATTGTTGTTGTTGTTGTTGTTGTTGTTGTTATGTGCCGTGGAGTCGGCCCCGACTCATAGCAACCCCTCCTTGGGTTTCCAAGGCAGTATCACTACGGAAGTAGGATTGCCCAACCTTCCTTCTGAAGAGTGGCTGGTGGGTTTGAACCGCCAGCCTTCTGGTTAGCAGTCAAGCGCTTTAGCCACTATGCTACCAGAGCTCCTCCATCATTCATAAAGCTTCTCAAATAGCCTAGTCCAATTATTTCCAAGGTGTTATCTAAAAAGCAATGACTGGATAACAATGTACCTTCATGACAAATCTTGATCAAAAACTAAATCTACTTCTCAAGTTAAAAGTTCCATACAATTAAGTTCTGGCAAGATGGTGGAATAGGCAGAAAGACTGCAGAGACCCTCTTCAACAAGAAAAGGGGAACCAATTAACACAGATACAGAAGATAATCTTGGACCTCTGAGCTTTGAAGGTAAGGATATAGAAGTGGACTAAACTCCAACTAGCAGAAGAATTTGCATGAAAACACAAAAAAAGAGACATATGGAACTGCAGTCTCACATCGATACTAACGACACAGACAGCTTGAATACTGCCGAGTGGTGGTAGGACCTAAGAATTAACCTAAAAATCAGCCCTGCTAGTCAGGGACTGCATGGAGGACTGCTCTGGTGGCTGGGGAATAAAAGGGGAAGCAGCAAAGAGGAAGGCAGGATGAGCTGTAGACTTTTGCCTGTTGGGAGGGCAGAGCCATTTTGAATGTTTACAAGTGGCTTGACCATTCTGGATACTTAAAGCAATAGCATTCTCCCAGATTCCAAGGACTTAAGAACAGGCTCCACTTGCTAGGAACTGCAAGGACATTCTGGATTCAGATGACTGGAAAGGTGCAACATTCCTTTGTTACTCTTATATCCCACAACCTCTTGGGGAACAGAGGTGCAGCCATCACTCACTCCCACCCACCTTCTAAGCTGGCAGGAATTCCATCCCAGTCTGTGTGGTTGGATGGAGCCTGGGTGCCCTGCCCTGCCCCCCCCTTTTTTTTTTGGTTTGTTTTGTCTGTTTTGAAACTATTATTATTATTACTTTTGTCTTTTTATTATTATTCTTTAGTCTTCCCTTCCTAGGTTCTAGTTTTTAGCTTTCCCTGTTCCTCATTCCAATTTTTTTTTCTCATGGTTAATCCTGTTTCTTGTTTTTCTTTTTGTGTTTTTCCCATTTTGTTCTTCATTATTCTCCTTCTCTACCTTTTTTCTCTTACTGCCCTCTCCCAAGATATTGCATTGTTTTTTATTTCATTTTGTTTTTGTTTTTTCCTCCTTTCTCTTTTTTTTT